ATTTAGGCCGTAAAACGTTAGTCTGACCTGATTTTGCAACTTATTCGCAGCATAAGTGAGAACTTGTGGAACATAACTAGTCCTGTGCCCTCTGCCATAGTATTCGTGATCTCCAGGATACGTCCATTGGCTTGGTACATTAACACGCATTTCGTTGACATCGTAGTGAGAGGCACCATCGTTAGCATAGCATTATAAATTATCAAAGTGACAAGTTAAGGCAATCCCCTTGATCAATTTTCTGTTTAAACTTTGTAGCATCACTCCTCACCCCTTTATTTAACCCTACCTTCTAATGCAATATTTTTTTGTCTCAACCCAACTTCATATCGCCCATTTACCTTTTCACACCATTCTGTGCTCTCATTTCCTCCTATTACGCCTAAGAATGTGTCGCTATAAGTTGGTTTACTGAAATTTAATTTTCTTCACCACCAGTTCCAGATGCCATTTACATGGCTTCTGACTTACATTAATCCCCCATTAGGCCCTGCTTTTTAATTTCTCTCTGTTGCATATTAAAATCCCTATCTGGCTGTCTGAAATCTGACTGTATATGGCCCTCCAATTTTCGTCAATATTTAGGTCATATTCAAAGATTTAAATTAAGTGGTGCCCAAGCCAATCCAGCCATTCTTATGGAATGAAAATTGGAATACTCAGAAGTATGGTCATAAAAATTCTACGACTTACCGTAATAGATTCGCTCAGTGTTAAAAGAAATTACCATTCGTACAGACTTAATGAGATGCTTCACGATGCTTCACTCCAGAAGCTATGAGAAATTTATAAAATAGAGAAGAATAGATAATCTAACTTTATAGGTATTTAGTCAAATCTCTAGCAGATTCTGGCCAGGATCTTCATTCAACAAGATTGTCAAAAACTCCAAAATATGGCCGACTAAATGAAATACGCATTCTGGAAGACATCCTTGTATACGTGATTAATATCTCAGACAATTTCCCTGAGACAAAACGGAAAATATATATGCAAATCATTCCATGAATCCTGACACATCAAGCACTAACAAAAAGGAGCAGATCAAGAAAACCTTGCAGAACTTTATAAAGGAGTGACTAATTAGTCTTTCAGGTAGATAAAGGAAGAGCGATTTTTATAATAGACAGGACGAAATACACCAAGATAATGGAAAGTATATGATGAGACAGGACCACATACCATTTACTAGAAAAGGACCTAGCTATGAAGATCAATGGAATACTATATGACAGACTTAAGGTAATGCATAATAACGAAGAAATCGACAGATGTACGATGGGTCCACTAATAATAAAAGGGGCACAACAAGCAAAATCATACTGATTACCGAGGATACACAAAGAGGATGAACCGATACGGATGAAAGTCAACAAAGCATGTGGAGTCACACACATATTGGCGACACTTCAAAATTTAGACTATCAATTATTAAACACGTTGAGGAATCCATATGAACTTCACTAAAGAATAAAAAATACAGAACTGGGAGGTTTTATGTTGATGAACAAGTTTACTTAAGTGTGTTCTCTCTTCAAAAACCCGAGATAAGTCATACAAATAAAGATAAAAACCATTAAAAGCCGATGGCAGGATGATGACTATGAAACAAGCTGATGAGGGAGAAGGACGCACAAATGTGAATATCCCTATATTTCTGCAAACTAACATAGAAACTCTGATTAAAAATAAAGCAAATGGAATATTAAGGTATTTAGCATGTCGAATGGCGAAACAGACGAAAACTCAGTAGACAAGTCAAGGACAATCAACGGCTTCGCAGGATATTGAAAACTCATAAATAGCTGAATACATTGCGCAAGATCACACAAGATCAATTGGAAGGCAAATGAAAATAGGGCCTGTTGCTGATATAACACAAAGTAATGAAAACGTATGGAGGCCATCGGCTTTACTGCCGAAAGAAATCTAATAAAGTAGATTGAAGAAGGCAGAGTTAGCAGATTCGGATCGAACATTGATCCCACAAGATCGGCAAGATGTAAACTACCGGATCAAGTACATATCGCTAGAAGATGAAGAGGGATCGCAGAAAAGAGATTAGTGAGGAAGATTTGCAAATTAAAAGAGGAAGATTCAATGAGTGTAATCAACTTGAGGAAGCAACTACAACTTTTGGAAACCTGATTCTCAAAAGAATAGGAAGACGTAAAGTAACAATCTTCATAGGAATTTGTCATAATGGCTAGTGTATCTAAGCTAATTTTCCTATAAATCCATTCAAGATGAAATAAAAGACCAGAGCTAGAAGCCACGGTTTGCTTGAGGTACAGGATTGAACCACAGAGATTGCCTGTGAAGACAATGCTTGATATCTTAATGCTTGAGAAACAGAGCCAATACTGCTCTGCTCTGTGAGGCTAAATTATAAGTTTTAATAAATGCTAGTGAAAAACCATGAAAAATAGCACTTATAATTAAATTTATACTGTAAACGTAAACGATTAAGTTCAGCCAACCAATAAACTAAGGAATGGATCTTCTGGGACATAAGGAATAGGATGTTACCATCGAATTAGCTAATATAGAGGGAGGCGGGCAAGGTAAATAAATAGCGTGCTATTGACAAACTAAACTCGCCAAAAATGACAAAAGCCTAGCAAAGTCGAGTAAAACTAACTTAGAAGTTGTAATAGAGGAAGAGTAAGATATAAGGACAAGGAATAGATAAATGTCCCAGGATAGAATGGGTGGTAACATACATATTCCGCAGAAAATTGGTGTCATGCTTTACTTCACTCATCTCTTTGACGAGTATTTGCTTTATTATGGCAAGATTCATTGAAAATACCGAGAATTGTGCTAAATAATGTCTAGAAGGTTACCAGGTTCAAGGTTTAACAATTGGAATTATCATAATTAATATAGCAGAAGACTTCGGACAAGGTGCTTCTTAACTTGTGTAAATGGGTTCAAACCACTTTTATAAAACGAAAAAAGACTTTAACCAAAACATAGGCCACATCATATTTTTCTTAACATTTATAACTTAACCGAAAGAGTATATTAATCGGACCAACAATATCACATAGATGACTTATAAATGACACAAATACAATTGAAATTATATGAATCAGCAAATGACATTAAATAATTTCAATTAGAGCCTGAGAACTAAATCCAACTAAGATGAGACGGATTAAATTTAAGATAATATAAATATGAGGAACTTTGCTTATTGAAGGATCTCCTGGATCAACATTTTTGGGCTCACTACCATCTCGAGGTTTAGGTTT